CTTGGTGCCTGTACGTTGGGGTTTACCCCAGTGAATGAGAGGGTAGCCTCCCTCCGCCTACATGTGGGGGGACGGGTTCTGACTGTGATCTGTGCTTATGCACCAAACTACAGTTCAGACTACCCACCCTTTCTGGAGACCTTGGAGGGGGTGCTGGAAAGTGCTCCTTCCGGTGACTCCCTCGTTCTGCTGGGGGACTTTAACGCTCACGTGAGCAACGACAGTGAGACCTGGAAAGGTGTGGCTGGGAGGAATGGCTCCCCTGATCTGAATTCGAGTGGTGTTTTGTTATTGGACTTCTGTGCCAGTCATGGATTGTCCATAATGAACACCATGTTCAGACATAAAGGTGTTCATATGTGCTCTTGGCACCAGGATACCCTAGGCCGCAGCTCGTTGATTGACTTTGTTGTTGTTTCATCTGACCTGTTGCTGCATGTCTTGAACACTCGGGTGAAGAGAGGGGCGGAGCTGTCAAATGACCACTACCTGGCAGTGAGTTGGCTCAGATGGTGGGGGAGGATGCCGGTCAGACCAGGCAGGCCAAAACGTATCACGAGGGTCTGCTGGAAACGTCTGGCAGAGTCTCCTGTCAGAAGGAGCTTCAATTCCCACCTCCGACAGAACTTCCAAAATGTTCTGGGGAGGTGGGGGACATTGAGTCTGAATGGACCCTGTTCCATGCCTCCTTTGTTGAGGCGGCCGACCGGAGCTGTGGTCGCAGGATCGTCGGTGCCTGTCGTGGCGGCAGCCCCCGAACCCGCTGGTGGACACCGACGGTAAGGGATGCTGTCAAGCTGAAGAAAGAGTCCTATAAGGTCTTTTTGGCCTGTGGGACTCCAGAGGCAACTGACGGGTACCAGCAGTCCAAGCGGAACGCGGCTCGGGTGGTCGCCAAGGCAAAAACCCGGGCATGGGAGGAGTTCGGTGAGACCATTGAGCAAGACTTCTGTACGGCTTCAAGGAGATTCTGGTCCACCAGCTGGTGCCTTGGGGGGGAAAGCAGTGCGCTACCAACACTATCAATAGTGGGGACAGTATGCTGCTGACCTCTACACAGGACGTTGTGGATCGGTGGGCAGAATACTTCGAAGACCTCCTCAATCTCACAGACACATCTTCCAGTGAGGAAGCAGGGTCTGGGGACTTTGGGTTGGCCTCTCAAATCTCTGGTGCTGAGGTCACTGAGGTGGTTAAGAAGCTCCTCTGTGGCAAGGCTCCGGGGGTGGATGAGATCCACCCGGAGTTCTTTAAGGCTATGGATGTTGTGGGGCTGTGTTGTTTGATGCGGCTCTGCAATATCGCGTGGAAATCGGGGGCAGTCCCACTGGACTGGCAGACTGAGATGGTGGTCCCCTTATTTAAAAAGGGGGGCCGCAGGGTGTGTTCCAACTACAGGGGGATCACACTCCTGAGCCTTCTTGGTAAGGTCTATTCAGGGGTTCTGGAGAGGAGGGTCCATCGGATTGTTGAACCTCAGATTCAGGAGGAGCAATGTGGTTTTTGTCCTGGCCCTGTTACACTGGACCAGCTCTATACCCTTAGGGGGATCTGGAGGGTGCGTGGGAATTTGCCCAACCAGTCTACATGTGTTTTGTGGATTTGGAGAAGGCATTTGACCACGTCCCTCGGGGGGCACTGCGAGGGTACTCTGGGAGTATGGGGTACCAGGCCCTCTGATACGGGCTGTTAGGTCCCTGTATAACCGGTGTCAGAGCTTGGTCCGCATTGCCGGCAGTAAGTCGGGCTCGTTCCCAGTGAGAGTTGGACTCCGCCAAGGCTGCCCTTTGTCACTGATTCTGTTCATAATCTTTATGGACAGGATTTCTAGGTGCAGCCAAGATGTGGAAGGCATCCATTTTGGTGGCCTGAGGATCAGGTCTCTGCTTTTTGCAGATGATGTGGTCCTGTTGGCTTCATCAGAACGTGATCTTCAGCTTTCGCTGGAGCGGTTCACAGCTGAGTGTGAAGCAGCTGGGATGAGAATCAGCTCCTCTAAATCTGAGACCATGGTCTTGATTCGGTAAAGGGTAGAATGGCTTCTCCAGGTCAGGGATGAGGTCCTACCCCAAGTGGAGGAGTTAAAGTTTCTCGGAGTCTTGTTCACGATTTAGGGAAAACTGGGCCGTGAGGTCGATAGGCGGATTGGTGCTGCATCTGCAGTGATGTGGGCATTGTACCGGTTTGTCGTGGTGAAGAGAGAGCTGAGTCAGAAGGCGAAGCTCTCGATTTACCAGTCGATCTACTTTCCTCCACTCACCGATGTTCATGAGCTTTGGGTAGTGACCACAGCTTCCCTGGGGCACACTGATGCCCAGAACACACAAGCTGCGAAGCGCCGCGAAGTGGATCGCTCACGAAATTTGTGCACCGTCCGCTCCTCTTCTGTTCACATCAGGACCCCCCCCCCCCCGCCCTTGCTGTGTGTGTGCATGCGCGTGCGTGCGTGCGTGCATGCATGTGTGTGTGTAACCAGTTTGCCCCGCTTGTTGATATCGGAAAATGCGCTGATCCTGTGTCTGTGTATTTCTTTGTATTCACATTTATCTATCTTTTGCTGTAAAAACTGCATATAAAAATATGGGAACGCTATGTTTCTCCGCAGGTGTGTGTGTGTGTGTGTGTGTGTGTGTGTGTGTGTGTGTGTGTGTGTGTGTGTGTGTGTGTGTGTGTTTATCAATTGTGGTGTCTTATTTAGAAATTTTCTTTTATTTTGTTAAATTTACTGGCCTGCCTCTTCTGCTTTGTTTTGACTTCCTGCCAGAATTGACGTGGCTCACTCACGGCTCACGAAAAAATAGAGCGCACGCCGAAACAATCGCTGCACAGCGCGAGCCTTCGTGGCGCTTCGCAGCTGATGTGACCGAGAGCGTATGTTAATAAGGGCGCCGCTTAGAAGTGCTCGTCATTCAACGGCGCTTCGTCAAACTTCTGCATCTGGTGTGTTCCGGGCGTGACAGAGGCAAGTCTGCCATGCACAGGCGCCACCAGCAGGCAAGGTGGGTTACTGTTCTGTGGTAGTCAGAGCTGCAGCAGCTAGCTTTATGTCTAAGATTTCTACAATATTAACACTAATACATCAATTCAACTGAAATGATTGAGATTTCAGTCATTTAAACAACAGCAACTCACTTTGCTCTTAGGCCCACCTGGACTAGCCGTTAGCTTGTCAATTAGATCAGAATTAAACCCCGTTTCTCCAAACTGAGGCCTTCATTCTGCTTGTAAATGTCTATGTTATGTTTATGCGTAACTAAAAGAGTAACTTAATACAGCTTGGATGTTTATACTGCTATTCAAAAGAAAATTTATGTTTTCTTTCATTTCACAGTTGCATTCATAAGTTTACAGTTTCCTGCATTTTAAAGGTTTACAAAAATCATTTGTTATGCCCGTCTCCCTATAAAAAAGTATGAAGACAAACAGCAGCTAGATTCAAAGTTCACACTTGGGTAACAGACCATGTTGGTTACGTCTGTGACACCTAAAGGGTTCCCCTCTGAGGAATGTCAGGACTAGGGTTTAAAAAAACGAGTGCATGTAGTCATTTACGTCACTGAAAGTTTTGAGAAGCTGTATTATGCATAATTAGTGTAAATCGTGTGAAGATGATGTTGGGAAACACATTACAAGCACGTGGAAGCCATCTGCTGCAGAGTATAGGAGACCAAACAGGTAGAATCAGAAGATGAACGTATCAACCACTTTGCATGTTTAACATGCTGCAATCAGTAATTCAGGCTGGGTTTTTATAGATCACTTGTGTGTGTGTGTGTGTGTGTGTGTGTGTGTGTGTGTGTGTGTGTGTGTGTGTGTGTGTGTGTGTGTGTGTGTGTGTGTGTGTGTGTGTGTGTGTGTGTGTGTGTGTGTGTGCCCCATCTTGTAATGACCCCAACAACACTGCACCACTTATTTGTTTCCATAATTAAAACAGCTTCAAGTTCCACTGAACCAGAGGACATGCTGTCACTGACATGTGCTCAAGGGGAAATTCATAGGTTTTGTTACATAACTTCTGTAATTACAAGGCAGAGTGATAAAAAATCAAAGGGCTGCTGGGATTACTCTGACCAAGCCTTAAAGTGTGGAAATAAAAATGATATAGTGCCCCTGCTTCTGTTGGGCATAAGCATTCCTCCAGAGCAGATTGGGTTACATGCCAGAGATGTGTGACATTATGACCATTAACATCATCACAGCTGAGCTTCAGTCTTTCACAGCTATAAAGACTCTGAAACAAACCTGATGTGATTATATTCAGTTTTGGGCCAAAGAGAGAATGTGAAGTAGTTATTAAAAATGAATCCCAACGTGCTACAATAATGATATCACCAAATCTGTTTAGCTTCAGACCCACTAAATCACAACGACAGACCGGAACACCAACTATCTTCGGATGATTTATACAAACATTACTAAAAGGTTAAATAACAAAAACAAACTGCTACATCTTATATTTTCCTACAATGTGTGGATGCATTTCTTTAGCATTTACATTAATTAGAGGGAAAATACTCTGCTGGATGCCTTGCAACCCAAACAGGTACCAATTTGAAAACAACTGGATTAGACTATAGGGCGATATATATATATATATATATATATATATATATATATATATATATATATATATATATATATATATATATATAGATAGATAGATAGATAGATAGATAGATAGATAGATAGATAGATAGATAGATAGATAGATATAGCAACTTAATGACTCTAAAATCCACTGAATTAATGGTTATGGAAAGTAATAATAATAATATAATCGCATGGCAGCAGCAGCAGCAGCAGTAGTAGTAGTAGTAGTAGTAGTAGTAAGCCTAAATATGACATGATTTAGCAAACAAACCCACTGAAGAGACACCTTCTGCCTCTTCATGACTAGAAAAGTTAATCGAACAGAACTAGAGGCGCAAGACCGTTAATATGTGCGTGCGCGCGAGCGCACACACACACACACACACACACACACACACACACACACTCACCTCTGGCTACAGAAGCATCAGTCTTAAATGATCTATGCGGTGAAGGTGAGCGCTCCGGGTCGGTGAGGTCCGAGCAGGCGGTGGGAGCGGGCGGACTGTCCCGCTGCTGAGTCTGCTGCTCGGAGCAGAGCGGCGCGGGGGAAAGGGGCGGGCTGGGAGGCTCGAATACCGATCCAAAAAAAAAAAAAAAAAAAAAACGGAGCTCCCACACCGCTGGGTCACTTACTAACAGCAGAAGGGGAAGTAATGACGTCATGGTTTTTAGCATAAACAAACAGACGCGGACATGAGCGTCATCCTCATTAGAATAGCCTATGTCAGTGGCGTGTCCAGATCTTTTAAAATGGGGTGGCCCAGGTGAGGCACAACTTTGTGCATGGGTGGCACCAATGGTTATGCTTTTTTTGCTTTACCCCCAAGCCTTTGTGGACAATGAAAAGCCTATTTAAAGGGAAATTAGTGTGGTGGCACCTGGGGTGGCCAATCAGATTCCAAGGGTGGCATGTGCTACCCCAGGCCACTCCCTGGACACGCCCCTGACCTACGTTTAATTACTCACCCTTAGTCCTAGTGGATGTGTATAGGGAAGGGCTCATCAGCAGACTAAATCAGACGAGCATCTGCTAACATTCAGGTCAGTGAAATACAAAATCATGAAAGAGCATGAGTCAGTACAATGTGGTCATCTCAAAGGTATCGCCAACAACTGCAGTGGGATCTGGCCTTGAATGGTTAAGATGATGTTGCTTTCATTTGTGCTCAGACATCCCGACATTAGAGGAATCAACTGTAATGTCCCACCAGACCTCATCTAAAGATCAAACATGGCTGTCTTATCTTTTCTTCTCTCAGTAAGAAACACAGAGCGCTGAAAACGCTGAATATGTTGTTACACTGGTTTTAAGCATACAGTATTATTAATATTATGAAGTATTATTATTGACATGTACTAATATTTTCATCCAACTGAAGAAGCTGTTGGAAACGCAGGTAATTTACCATTACATTTGGAAATTGGAATGTTTCAAAATCCAACATGGCTGCCTCTAGCTTTAGTGGTTAAAGCCACAGAAATAAACTGTTCATTTGCACTTGTGTCCGTTTACGTTTCATTAGTTGCACACAGAGAGCTGATGTCCAAACGTCACGTGTGAACTGTAAAAAACATTCTCATTACCTTTTACTGCTAATACTAGTTCCTCTGGTCACTGAGCCAAACCAAATCTGACTCATAACTGGGATGTGGTTGAGTTGGATGACATCATTCCCAGAGTAAAGCCCGGACTTCCAAGGCACATGGAATAACAAGATGGCTGTCTGGTTTTACATTTTCTACAGGTGTGAGTCTACAAAGACGAGGCAACTGCTTCACTTGTATTTTCTTTGCATGCTCATGATACGTGGCTGACGATGGCAGAGAAGTTAAGTGTCTGCCTCATAATTGCAAGGTTGCAGGTTGGATCCTCGCTCAGTCGATGGCATTGTGTCCTTGGGCAAGACACTTAACCCACCTTGCCCTGATAGTTTTGTAAAGAGCCTTGGGGGGTTTTATGACTCTAGAAGGCACTATACCAAAACACTTACTGCAGCAATAAGAGAACAGCAGCTGCTACTTGAAGTTCAAATGAGACTGAAATCACACTGAAGCATCCATCAGGAAACAGTCCTATCAACAGGAACAGAACCCCATCCTGTCCTCGATGGCCCTGAAAGCCTGTCTGGTGTTAAAACGGCACAAGTATGCAACCATTTGCCCTTATCCATTCCACCAAACTCACAAACAAGGGACTGAACAACAGAACTTCGCTGCTTCATAAGTATCGCACATGCAAAACAATTCCTATTTAGAATATCACAAGTGGAGTAACACTGTCACACATGTGGTAAGCGTTCTCCTTCAGTTGTCCTCTTGTACAAGTCCTACAGTCTACAGACATGACAACTCTGAGGGGGGCGACTTTTCTCTTCTGATCTATTTAGATGTAAATAAATGCTTAAAAACATAAATAATTAGATCTTGATCGACAGTTAGCATGAGCTGGCGGCTTGCTCTGTGGAAGGCCTCAGCCTCAGCCTCACATTAAAAGTGTTTGGCCATTTCAACTCTGAATTTGACCATCAGCTGTATCCTCTGTGTGTTTGTGTTTGGGTGTTAATCTTGCAATTATTGGACAAAGATGCCAAGCTTTGGTACTGATTGCACTAACAGATCACCCTAAGAGGTCTCGGCTCCATTTTTTTGGTAAGTAAAATTCTATGTCTCTTCTTTAATTTGCTGGTTGAATGGAGTAAAACGCTGTGCATTTAACATGCTGCTTGGTCAAAAATGGGTTGATGTGTTGGTGGGACTGGGTACCAAAACTCGAGCTAACTGAGCTAACCGAAGCTAACGGAGGTTTGCAGAAGCTTTTAGCCAAGAATCGCTGTAGAATAACTCCAGCGTGAAGCAGGCATCAACTCACAGGGCTGCGGTGTTTCTGTGGTCCTCCTCTGAGAGCTCTACGGGAAGCCAGCTCTGCTACGACCTTGAACTGATCAGACCCGAGCAGCCAGAGCACCCAGCAGTTCCACTGTGGTCAGAGATCCTCCAGAAGGGAGGGAGATGGTACCAAAACTCATATACAGTGGCATCTCTGATCACAGTAGACCAGCAGAGCGGGGTCAGGTGCGTGCCCTGGGCACCCAGGTATCAGGCTGTCGCAGCTCTGGCTGCCTGTGGAGCTACATCCGGTCTTAGTTTGATGGATGTAATGGCTGTCCAGATCTCAGCTATAGCTCTTTGTCCATTTTTGTTTCCCTCTGGGATTAATAAAGTATTTTTGAATTTGAATTGAATTTGAGTAACGAGATTTGTGACACGGTCAAGTTGGCGGTGGTGGCAACCGCTGATTGGGTTTCAGTTCAGCTCTTCAGAAACCTATGGTTGAGGTCACAGAAGGTTTGTCATTGGGTAAGACTCATCATCAGTTAGTTCTGCTGAAAAACCACTGGAGAATGTTTTGGGGCTCTTGGTCCATCAAAACAAAATGGAATTGAACATCTGGGAACTCAGGGTTAGGGTTAGTCTGAGTTTTTAAACACCTGACTGGTACATCAGCTGAATAATAATGTGTTCAGTGACAAAGGATTGAGCATCATTTCAGCTAAAACACTGTTTGATACACAGCTCTAATCTGTATACAATCCCCGAGGACATCTGAGGATAAGTGTAACGTGTGTGTCTGACATGCTGTGAGGTTTCTGTCTTACTCATGCTGTGGTGGTGACTGTCAGCAGTTATGTTTACATCACAATACAAGTATGTGTCAGCCTTACATGGACACAAGCCAGACTGCATAGACCAGGTTAAGTAATCTCAAACTAAAGACAATTAAAATATTACATAGGGATTAGGATGAATTCAGGCATCCTATGAATGTGCATCAAATTGACAAATAGTCAGTTATTGCACAAAAGAAGTTCAAATGTGTTGCTGTGCAGCTTTCTTCTTCTTCTTTTTAACCCTCCCACTGTCCTAATGGGTGTGACCCCGCCAGGAAAGTTGACCATTGAGCAGGATTGATGTTTATCCCTTGAGGTTCACATGGCAGGGGTGAGGTGGTGCTCACTCCTCACCCCTGCCACATGGACCCAAGGGATAAACCATCAACCATCAATGGTCAACTTTCCTGGCGGGGTCACACCCATTAGGACAGTGGGAGGGTTAAGCATGTTTTGTTTTAAGAAGATTCAGCTTCTCTTGTGTTTAAAGTTAAATGTCTATAATAGCAAATGTCCTCAATCTACTATTACAAAGACGCATGGATAAGAACTATCCTGCTTGTGAAGCAGATGTTACTGGTGGTGGTCCTTTGATGTGACCCAGGAGAAACTAGAGCTCAGAACTGTTCCAGACCGTTTATGTGTGCTCTAGATTTGGTCTGCCTCCTGTTGTCGCCTTTGCCCACACTCTCCTGGCAAGAAGTGTTGATGAAGTGTTAAAGATTTGCTGAGTTCATTCAGCTAAGCCAGCAACTAACAGCTCACCGATGGGTTTAACGGAGTCACTCTGAATCGTCATCCAGACTTTTTAAATGAGATTGGCTATAAAGCTCTTTTTTTACTGTTGACCCATGACCTCTGATCTTCCTCCACCAGGCGAGGCCTGCAGGGCTGCCGATGTTTACGGTCTCCTTTGTTGCTCACGTTTTCTAGAACCGATGTGTTGCTTTTTGAGATCTTGTTGCCTCATCCAAGGAGGTGAAAAACTTTATAGCTTCAGTTTGGTATGATCACTTTCCCTCAATAAATGAAATTATTTGTAAACTGCACTTTGTTTTTGTTCAGGTTGCGTTTCTCTGATATTGAAATAGGAAACTCTGTAAAACACTTTAAATACTTGATTACAGCAGTGTGTGTGGTGAGGTGGGGTTCAGAGCAGCGTGGGTAACTGCTAGCTTATGTGGGAATTTAAACTACCAACCATGTTTTAGGAAAGAACCCAAAAAACCTTCTTTGGATTTGTGTTATTCTAGCAGATACGTTATCTACAGTCAGTCAGTGCTTTAGTCTGGGGTTTTTATGAGGCTCAAATCAGCTTTAGAATTGTCCATCATCAGCCGTGTCCATGTTCTCCACCCCTCCTAACCTCTGGGTGACTTGTTGGCTGTTACAACATATTAGTGCTGTCGATTTTATAAACCTTTTATTAGAAGCTTTCCCAAGCATCTCATGTCTCTCCTGCCTCCTCTTAATACTTACATCATATTCTCTCATCCATCTCCCCATCCCCAATCCCTCCTCTCCTTGTCTCCTGCTCTGCATCCCAGGATAAACATATGTCACATATTTGTTCTGAAAAAGCTTGCCAGCGTTTCGAGGCTGCTCAGAGCTGTGTCCCTTAAGGGAGGCAAGATTACAAATTTAGTGGTTTTTTTTCAAAATCTCCCCCTCTGTTTCTCTTTCTCTTGATTTAACCCTCTCCCTTTTCCTTCTCCCAACTCTCCCACGACTTGTTCTCGTCTCGCTTGAATCTTGACGAGACTCGGGTTTGTGAGTTTTGACGCCTCGCCACCTTCGGGTTTTGACCTTATGTTCCAGCCAGATCTTGTTTGTTAGTTACTGATTTATTTAAAGTCAGAAACTTTCATCATTCCAGGGTGATTACCACACCG